ACCCCATTTGTATTCCTGGCTGGAGAGAGGCAAGTGGTGGTGGAGAGGCTTACTCATGGACACAGCTGTTGGCCAGGAGCTGGATTCAAACCCCTGAGCCGTTGATCATGAGATACAGACATCTATCACTTGGCCAAACTCTCCCTGAGCTCACATTTTGCATCATTGTCACCAATACCAGACGGAGCTAGAAGAGATAAAGGACCAACAAGGTCAGCTGGCTAGTACCCTGAAGAACGTGAAATCCCGGCTCAAGATGATGAGAGCCCAGAATGACCGCATCGAAGCCATGCTGGAGGCTCTGATCAAGAAGGGAGAGGTGGAGTTTGAGGAAGGGGAGGCTGCAGAGGAAGGAGGAGAATAGGGTCAGAGGTCAGGTACGTAACCGTCGGCACTGTTTGTAGAAAGCAAGTAAGTTTTATTCAGTATTAACAGACTGGCAGTGAAGTAGTGTGCAGATTTGTGTTGAAAAAATTAAAAGAACTTGGAAACAAATTAACCAGTATCAGAAACTTGGCAGAAACTTAGACTTTTGAAAGAAGTTTAAAGTAGGAGTAAATCGTGAGATATCAATACGACCAATTATATGACTGACACTGTTTTATACATGTATGTCACCATAAATTTGTAATACTATTTTTAGCAATTTTCAAGTATTTTTAATTGAACAATTCATATCATATATTAAATGAAATTAAAGGAAGTCAAGATTCGGTGAGCATTTTTTAATAAAGAATATGGGTCTTTCCAGTGAAATGTTTGGATTTTTGTCAAAACGAATATTTTCTTGAACTTTAATCATGAATTAGGAAACTATGAAATCTCCACAGTAAAAGTACCTCAGTGTAATTTATATTTTCTATATCAGGATTTTCATATCAGCATCCATATTACACAAACCCTTCATACCATTAGAATGTAGTAAATTATACTTAAAACTGTTCAGGGAGTGTGGGTAATTGCTTGAACACAGTAAACTAATAGAGTAAGTTGTCTTGAGGACAGTGCATTTATTAGGTCTTCAGTTCGAAATGTCATTTCCAACCGTGTAAGCAAGGGTGCAGCGTATTTTCCAGTCATATTAGGCATGTTTGTGAAATTTGGCTATGAGCATAAATACTCTTACAACATAAAGGGAGTGATGCTTGACGACAGTAATATTTGAGGCTTGTACTTCCAATTAATGCAGATTTTTCACATAAGTTATGCCAGAAAACCAAGCCATCATTCAAGGTTTGCCCAGTTTTTCAGTTATGTGTAAACATTAATTCTATTCTGCTTTGATTGTGTGTTTATTTGAAACAAATGATGTGCATTCCAAAGTCTATTTCAAGTCCTGTGAATGTTGCATTTATTACTCCAAGTCATGAAGTATGGTCCCTTCTTGAACAATGCCACAAGGTAATCCTTGATACTAGAGACTAGACCTTTCCCTATGCTGAATGCCATGCTACCACTTCTAAAATTAGAGACTTGTCAAATTAAGCTGAATTCAGAATGCAAGAGATTTCATCAAGATTTGAGAAATATTCTGTAGTTTTTTAAAACATTCTTAAGAATTCATTACTGATTGGTAGGGTTGTAGCTATGCTGGCCGGTGCCAGCCTGTGCTGGTAACCACTCAACCTTACCGGCTGGCACTGGGGATGAAAATGGAGCTTGCTGGCCAGCGAAATTACAATGAATACTTACATAATTACTGTTTTTAGAGCGTTGAGAGAAAAAAATGGGCTACAACGCTGCTGATTGGTCATTCTGTTCAACAGTTGCCTTGGTTTGCAGTGCAGCAAAAATATTAGCATAGACACTACTTTTTTTCTTCCAAAGTTATCCATATTTCCAGAAAAACCTATTTTTTGATCATGAAACGTGAATTTTTCTGAAAGAGTATAATGTAAGATACAGCATCAAAGGTTGTGATGGGAAACAGCTTACATGCATATGCAGTTTTGAACTTTTGAATGGAATGTTTCATTGCTCATGACACTTTTAGTATATTGGAGTTATTTGTTGTTAGAATTATCACTAATACTCATATTGAGAATTAGTGATAATTCTAACAAAGTTATCCTGTAAAAATGTGATAGTAAGCACATATCATTGGGTTATGCTTTTTTGCTTTGGGAACGTTAAGTTGTTGAGGAGGTTAAAACACTTAAAAATGGTTTAAAAGTTCCCTCTCATGCAATATTGGTCAAGGCAGGTGTTAAGTATCAAGGAAATTATTTTTGATACAAAATATATTATGAATATACTTCTCAAAAATTCAAGGGTAACTATATATATAGTTTCAATCATGTTTGTTCACTCAAGATTGCATAATTTAAATGACAACATACACTGTCTCTCTGCTCTTACTGCTTGCTGTTTACTCAGATTTATGTAATACTTAAAAGTTTAAGATTTCATTGTTTTTACATACCTGTATACATTTATTGGCATTTTATCTGTTGGTATTTTTGGCCATAGAGCTTAGATGTCTTGTAAATCATGACGATGTCATATTTTATAAGAAATGCTGTTTTGTGAATTTTGTTATTTCAGAAATAGTTAGTCCAGGGATGTTGATTTAAGTGTTGATATAAAAATAGGCATCAGCGCATTTGATGTAAACTGCCATTAGATGTGTGATATGCAATTTTGTTTGTATGCAAAAGAATGAAAATACGAAACGCAGGGAACCATGATTGGTATATGCGCATATTTAATTTAAGCCAAATGTATTCTAAGTCTTTCTCAAGTGGGTGGACCAAATACAGCCAGCTAAATATACATGGATGCCAGACCCTTAACAAATCCTGGATACTTGTGATCTGTTGTAAACGAAAGAGAGAGAAGGGTAATCAGAAGAGGTTGGCATCATTTTTTCATTCTTAGTCGGGAGACAGAGTTTTGTATGGCCAACTTTGCTTGGCTGATTTTCTTAACAGGAATTATGTTGCATAATACTGGCTGCCGTTTGATTTTCGTAGACTTTAATCGATGGTTGTCCCACTTAGTTTTGTCATGATTGTCTAGTGTCATCTGTTTGATTTATATTTACTTATTGTACAACGTACAGATAAGATGACTTAGAGGACGAGATTCTAATGTTGGTCTTTTGGTGTTTTCTTTATTGCTGTTCACGGGAACATTTCCAATAACTTTTCTGTTCTAAAAATGACTCCAGTTTTTTTTTATTCTTAAAGGAATCCTTACTGCCCTCCACTGAAGATATGGCAGAACATCGTAGGCCTGCATTACTTCGTCCAATTTCATGCCATGATTGTTTATTCTAACATCGGTGCACAGTTATACTTCTTTGACCCTCTTACTGAAATGTAGCTCCATTCGACAGGATATGACACGATAATTGAATTCCTTAATTACTGTTTCAATGGAGGGAGCCCATAAAATATTTCTGAAAAGTCTTGTTCTATATATTATTTGGTTTTAGTATATTTACCTGAAATAAAATAGTCCCTAAACGGGGGGGGGGGTTACAATGTAAAAACTTTGATGTTCATTTAACGCCCTGTGTGTTACCAGAAAGTCTCCCAAGAGTGGATGTAGTCTGATAACACCAAGAATGTTGACACTAATACGGGCATTTCACGATAGCGCGCCTCCAAGAGTTTGCAACGCGTTGGCCAATCACAATGCTCAAAATCTGTCACGTTTGGAAAGAGTTGACAGATTTCGTGCGTTGTGATTGGTCAAGGCGTTGCAAATAACTTGGTGGCGCGCTATTTCGAATTGCCCGTATTAAACAGCACGGGTTTACATTTCTAGCGAGACATAGCATGTTTTAGTCATACACGTACATTTTAAACAATTTGGTTAATTGATTAATTCCACTGGGGAAATAATTATTTTTGTCACTGTCGTATTTTAAATATGCCACACGGCGTGTGAAAAGTGGCGTCAGACATGTCAGAGCAGCTCACTCGGACTGGACAAATCTCAGAAATCAGATTGCAAGGAAGTCGACTATTAAAGCAGCGTACGTGTCGATGTTAGTTGCGATTGGTACGTCTTCAATAGCCATTGGCCTTTTTTTAAATTTGCGGTCGTGGAAGTACGGTGGTTTTAAAGGGACATGGTAGGAAAAAATATTTATTGTCGGCCAACGCACTTTGTTGAGGGAACAACAAAATTTTGTTCAGGGATCAACTCAGTTTTTGAGGAAACCACCATTTTTTGTTAAGGGAACAACAAATCTTGTTCATTGTACAACCATATTTGCTGAGGTTGAGGGAACAACAAAATTTTGTTGAGGGAACAACCAATTTTGATGAGTGACGACCGTTTGTTGAGCGTTTCCCGCGCTTTCTGCATGGGTGCAGTCTACTTTAAGTGAGGATTTCTGGCCTGCTCATGAGCATTAAAAGTGCTCCCACAGTTTCTTTTGAAAAAGGAGAATATTTGGTCCCCCAAATTGAGGGGTTTTGTACATCTTTGCCAGGATCAACTCCCTGGGTCCTTGAGTTTTCAATTGAGAGCAGAATAGCTTAAAATACGGTTGAAAAATGGTCTTAAGTGCCCGAGAAGGTTGAGGGTTGCCACTTAAAAATGGCTGCAATCAGACTTCGGAAAAATCACTTTTCGGGGGTGGCTTTGTTTTGTGGGAATAACTAGAAATGTAATCAGTTAACCCACAGAAAATTGAAAAGAAATTGAAAGATCAGGGACCAGACAGTAATCTAATTTCTGTTTCAGAAACTCCAGGGATGTAGGTATGCATGTTATTGGGCCCTGAACAATGCCGATTTTACACCGTTTCAATAGGGCTTGAATGAGTGGGACTAAACCTTTTTCTCTTTGTGTATGTTGTGTGCAGTATATCAGTATCTATTTTCATAGAACAACCTTTGTTGTTCCCTCAACAAACGTTGTTGTTCCCTCAAAAAACTTGGTGTTTCCCTCAACAAAAATTTATTGTTCCCTTAACAAAGTGTTGGCCGACAATGTATATTTTTCCTACCAAGTTCCTTAAAAACCGTCGTATGAAAGAGATTTCGCAAAGAATCAACTGCGGCACCGCTGTTGGTTGATTCTGCCCAAAATTGTTCCAATACCCCGATCGACTGATCGCGCCCTCAGCTTGAAGAAACTGTTGCAGCAAGTACCATGCTGACGGTCGTCCGTGATGCTCGTGGTTTGTCATATTTGGGTGGCGCTAAGGATTAGAAGCTTGCAGTAGATACCCGGCAGTTGTTCCTGAAACATGCCAGGGAACCATTGAATACAGTGAAGTGTTATTTCTCTATGCAGCAAAATAGTTCTAAATTCCGTCACAGCATCCGTATGGTAGAGATATCCCAGGGATCGCTCGTGGATCAGAAGGGTATGCTATCCACACACTGTGCTACTTTTACCAAACTTTGAGGGGAATTACGACTTATGCCTCTTTGCACTTAAAATCCATAATGTTGTGTACGCATACGTGACAGTGGCCACGGTGGCAAAAATTGTGAGCAGCGCACCGAAAAATGATAATGTTCAAGGGCGCAGACTTCATGATCAATTTCCTTCAAATTCTCCGTGGGCTTTTTTTTCTGTCTTTGGTAAACCCTAAAATACATATGTATCATCGTAGCAGTATTTTTCTGGTTAAAGAGTTTTACAGACAAATAAAGAATAAAAAATATGTTTTTGCCGCGTGCGCAAGAGGTCAACAGAACAGTTCATCTTTTGTGCTTGTGTAAAAGACCGTCGTCAATTCGACATCACGACTTTGTTACCACCGGAGCCTTCATCTCTGAAATAAACCAGCTTGTAGGCGTGTTACAAGTTAATGAAAAAATACTTTCCCCTTTACAACGATAGCATACATTTAAGTTTTGATGTAGTAAACCTGGCTTTTTTGTCGCCATGGCCAGTGTTGCGCATGCGCGCACATTTAGGAATTAATTGGTGCAAAGGCCATCAGGTGAGTCCGAGTACAAACTAGACATCCCTTTTCACCAGTTGATTCTGTACAGACCCTCTAGGATTGGAGGGATACACGGCCAACAGTCGAATCAATATTCTGATGGCAGATGAATAAAAGGATGAACAAATGTCGCCTTACAATTGCCATGCAGTTGTGTACATCGGATGTTTTTGGAGTGGTTTTGGGTTGGGTCGGGTCGGGTCCATTCTGGAAAGAGTTCTCCGTTTTACGTGACCTGCTACGTGAATAACTATTCTCGAGTATCATTCATAACTTCCCATAAACTTAGTACAAGCAATAAATTGGAGATGTGTCCTTTTATCATTTAGTTTAACAACGTTACAAGTTTCCTTGTCATGACTTCACACTAATTGTCCTGCATTTTACCACAACCAAGCAATCATGAATGATACAACCAGTCTCCGATTCTCTGAGGAAGTATCGTCATGATGAACGTGCGTAGACGCCAGTACCAATCCTTAGGTTCGTATCTGATCCTAGGGTGTCTGTCAGTAATGGCCGCCACCATGGCGTCAATGACGGGACTCGGGTCCGTCGTACCGATCTGACTGTAGTAATTCATCCTCTCCACCTGGGTGTCAAAGGTCTCCTTGCCGTATGCCTGCCGTGTCTCCTCGCTAGCGTCTTCCCACATCTGGCTGGCGATCTGGTGGATCCGTTCCTGGGTGAAGATGCCAGTGGCGGCGATGAAATTCCCCGGTTCGATGATGCTGACGCGCACTCCCCATCGGCGCATCTCGTAGCGTAGGCATTGGCTGAAACCTTCCATGGCGTACTTGGTCAATACGTAGCACGACCGGCCTGCGAGAGCTTGGCGCCCCAGTCCGCTCGTCATTTGAACAATCCGACCTAAATAAAATCAATTTCTATTTTTTATTATTTACTCTTTTGGGGTATAGGGTTGGGGATTGCCCCCCCCCATTGATATTTATCAGAAGCCTAGGACTAATAAAAGGTTGGAAGGGGCTTAAAGTATAAACTGTGTAGGGGTCTTATTTTACGTGCTCAGTAAATGACAAACCAAAGAGTTTTAATGGCTTCACCAACGTCGACAACTATTCATGTATAGTACCCCTTCCCCTATACGAACAAAAGTTTTCTCCCCCAGCCGCCAAATAATGACTCCGCCCTTGGCATCTGCCTATTATGTGCTCTGGTGTGCATGATAATGATGTCCAGGTCACTCTTCCCATTGAAGAAGAGCTTGAAAAGCGATATCAAATTTAATGGCATAAATTTTTGCCAGAAATTGGGGGATGGGGAATGGAGAGAGGTTGCGGGTTTGACTTGCCCGGCCATGAAAATTTGAAAGGGGGGGGTGGGGATGAAACCAATGACTCTATATAGAGGTCGATGTTGTGTGTGAGTTTGTATACACATTCAAATCGTGGACCTATAACAGTAGGGGACAATAGGGTCCACAGTTGCCAAAGAGTCAACGGTTGGAAAACGTGTACAGAACATATGGGAGGTCTTCCGAAAAAGGTAAAGTATGAGCAAAAGAGGAACAATAGGGAGTCCACGATTGAAGGCGTTTACACACTTGTGTGTGTGTGTGTGGAGGGGGGTTAAGTATATCCCCATCCCCGGGATTTTCGCGTGTGATATCATTGTAGAATGCTATAACAAAATATTAAAATTCAATTATGTTCATGTAGCGCGCAGTAAACAAACAGCACAAATTGAAATTTCACAGTGTTTTTGCAATCCCCTTAATTGTTTGTAAAATAGTCAAAATGATTCCTCAACAGCAGAGGTGTTGGTTCATTTGGAAGTTCTTTTATCTACACAAACAAAAAGTGCGTGATATTTTTCTACACTGCTGTTCAGCGGTAGTTATCACTACTTTAGGTGAAATCATACAGCAGCATTATGTTCTCACCTTTTGCTTTCCTGATAAGAGGCAAGAATGCTTTGATTGCTCGTATCCCTCCCCATACGTTGACCTCGGCCATACGTTTGAACACAGCAAGACTGCACCATTCAACCTCGCCAAATGTTGACAGACCGGCGTTATTCACAATGGCCCATAGGCCTGCAAACAAGCACAGTATCGTGTGATAGTAGCCATGAGAAGTAGCGATGGAGTTCTTGCACAAATGGCATAATGTACAGTGTGGAATTGTACACAATAGGCCTATGGCCGTTTTCCAATACTCAACTTCGTCTCCCTCTCAATTGTGGGCCTGAAACGTTTAACTTTCAAATTGAAATAGTGTAATTTTTGGCTCTTTTGCGTCTTACCTGATGTTTTGTGGCACTATCAGACTTACTATTGCGCTTCCAACCTCAAAGTCATCCGACCTCAAAGTCGGGATTTAAAAAACAGTTGAAGCCTGAGACTGAGCTGGGTCGAGTATTGGAAAACGTCCCAAGAGACTGTCCACAGAAATGAGTCTTATTTCTTGACTTGCACGAGAAAGAGCAAGTCATCCTTCTTAGATGTATCACTCTTATTCTGCATACTGATGAAAATGGACAATTTACAGGTGAAAAATGATGAGGGTTTCCACTGCTTTGTGCATTCTCTTTAAGGCCTTTCCCTCAAATGTTGCTAGGGCGACAGTGTGTTCAGTACCTTTGGGCCCTGTTCAAGGGGTTAGTGGAGATAACTATGATGCTTTGCACAATTTTAGGAGGGTTTTTGAACTGGATTTCGTTTATTAGCCCTACAGGACCATTCTTCATACCTTCATCCTTGCGCAACAGACTTGTAACTATCTTCACAGCTTCATTCACTTCGTCGTCCTTACAAATATCCATCTGAAGTACCTTCATACGTTTGCAGCGGGCCTTTTTACACCCTTCGACTCTTCTAGCCTCCTCGGTCAACTTTGCTGCCCCCTCGCCCCTCGAATCCAAGCAGCCAGCAAAGACCATGAACCCGAGTGAGTGGAGCCGGCCTGCTAGGGAGTGCCCGAAGCCCGTGTCACACCCGGTCACCAGAACCGATTTACCGCGCGGGTCCACACGACCTTTCAGGTGGGACACCAGTCTGGTGCCAAGCCAGAATCCGCTGATGCATGCCACCAGAATGGCCGCGATTAAGGGGAACATGGCAGGTATGGTCAACGGTCTAACTTCACAGCGAAAACCGTTGGCAAAGAGCCGTCTGAGGAAGTACCACGATAAATACGAGTACACGCTGCAAAAAGTAACAGCAATTCCCTGTTACTGGACAAATATCACTCTACTCATGCCGGTATAATGGAAGACTGCACGTGTATAATACACGTAGCTTTATGTTCACCCCAGGAATTACTTAACACAACTTTTACGCTCCCGACCAGAATGGTTCTAAACAGTGTCAATATGAACATTGGACCCTTTTACCCAATCGGAAGTGTAACATGCTGTTGATAAGCCATAACTCCTCAGCCTTCCAATTTGCATGTCTCGATTGCTTGTTTTAACCATACATCCTTACTCTTTGGTTTGACATTTATAATATATATGACAACAGATCGGGGATTTTGACATAATGAAACGGTCAGTGTTGGTCTGGGTAATCGTGACTACATGTACATGTGTTTGGAAGTCCATGAGTCTACAGTTGTAAAACAAAATTCAGGCGAAGTGAATTACCGGCATATAGGCCTATATTTAGGGAATTTGAGACCCCAGAGTCACGACAGTTGGCATTCATTGGCAATGATCGTCTTCTTTGATTGGAGGCCATTATCAGCGACCAAGCATTATAATCGAATACTTTTTGTATAATATTATTTATTTATTTATTTAGCCATTCCTCATAAAAATAACTAGTAAGGCATGGAGCAGCAAAAGTAAAATTCTATGATCCAAGGACCTGCTGCCCCAAGAAAACAAAAATTAAAACAATTAACTAGGAAACAATTCACATTGAAACTTATAAACTACATGTAGAGCCTATAGGACCTATGTGATCCAGTCATTGAAAAACTGCTGATATGGCCCTTGTTTGTCCACAAATACGTCAAGTCTAGTTTAGGTAATGTATTTTCATACCGACAAGTACATCAAACATGCATCGATATATATTTATGCTGCTTCACATCAATACATAGTTCAATGTAACCTCTACCACCACCCACGAATTTTCATGCAGGACCGGGAATATTTAAATTTTAGCTTTGATCCCCACTCTATACAGATGAACTGTTTTACGCCGCTAACAACATTGTCAAGGTTTTGCTACATGAACAACAAAGGCAGCATATAAACCGACTGAAATGCTCTGTATTAAAGAACCATACCGAGTCTCCGCATTTGATCCTTAATTAATTTGTCATCACATTCAGTTTCAATATCGTTGCGAGACTTGCGTGCTAAACACACGCACGGAGTCGCTCGTGAAAACAAAATCGATCTTTGGAAATTACTTCATCAACTGCCTTGCAAGTTTGCAACGTAATTTCCAAAGATCGATTTTAGTTTCACAAGCGACTTTGTGTCAAGGTTGCCTCACAGATTCGACAGGGACCATTCGAGCAAAATGAAATTGCAGTATTCAAGACAGGAATTAACACGTAACACGACCCTGGCCGGTTTATTCCATTTTGCGTGTACTAGAATTAAGAAATTGCCATCCAGTGATTTTTGGTCGATACCGGTACTATACATATGACTCGATAATTAATCACCACACAAAAGTTGCCTTCGGCAAATTTGTGGACCACATGTACGAAGATTCTCTAATGTAACTTCATGACAGAAAGCTTATTATCAGTCTCCTTGTTGCGAGTACAAGCATTTCGATACTCCGAGCTATATGAGTTCGGCCGATTTTTTTGAGCAAAATATGCGCACGTCCTCATTCATATCGTTTCATCCTTTCACCCAGAAAGAGTTCACATTTTACAGATAAACGTCAGTTTTTCCCAGCATCTGAAATCATTCCACTGGTTCGAATGGTGATGTTCCGCGCAATCCTCGTTCCCGAGGTTGTTCGGCTCACCGGGCGCCCAGTTCCTGTATGATGCATCAGAGCCATCCGTCCACTTGAATAAGTTCTCATGCTGATGATCGTTGTATCCGATCCAGTACCCACGGGGATCACCGGAGCTACCAGATGCCTTCCGGACATATTCAGTGATGAATTCGCCCTCCTCTTCACTGTGGATTGATGCAAGGTGGGCCATTCTCATCGGATGGGACAGACTCTGGCAGTAGCGCTCAGCATCTATCCAAGACATTTTAAGGTGAATCCACCGGTAACAGTGTGTGTGAAAGACACGCCAAGGCGGTGGACAGTACGGTGTGCTGCAAACAGCATTGGCCTCACCACACTGAGATAAAATTACTCTGAACCATATAGGTATCATCAACGCAAGAATGAAAGTCATTCTGTGTTTTATGTCAGTTTCCTTTGAATATCCACAAATACGTTCAGACTACAATATGGAAACTAAACAAAATGTACAATTTTGCCGATGCTGGATTTTTCTCTGTAACACCGTTTTTCTTACTCCTTGCAAAATGACGACGCGGTCAAATTGGATGGTCCGTAGAACTTGGGTTGATAAAGTAGGGCAGAGAAATATTCCATACTGCAAATGCAAATTCACCCAGCGCTCTCTCCATGTAAAAGGTGAAACTTCAACCACAAGGGTTTTTTCCCTTGTCCTCCTGTTAGTGTTTACGCAGAGCCGTTTTCTTCACTGTCGAAAGTTCTCGCCGTTGTGCGTTGAATGAGATAATTGTTCAAATCTCTAGCAATTAGCGTTGCCTGGATACCACGCTGAGCTTTGCGTTATGATGTGTTAGTGCGGTGCAACCGTCGCGTATTTGGCAAGTTGAGACAAGCCACGACAATTTGGCAGTTTATTTGGAAATTATTTGTCATCCCCAGGCAAGTGGTAGCCAGTGGCGTCAATTAAAGCCGGAAATTAGGGAGTAGAGGATGACGAGTTGGGGGGGGGGGTTGTGGATGACACCATAATTATAGGGCGTTGATCATGGTAGATGAAGGCTTACATGTACATCTGTAATGTATAACATTCCTAGAGAATCTTTCATCGAGTGGCAAATTTATAGCTTGTTTGATTGTTCTCCTTCTTGAGAGTAGCTGAATTGATTTGGTTGTGGCAAGTCCGAAAAAATCTTCAAATTAATCTTTTCGCACAACGAATGGGGGGGGTGATTCAGTCGCTCATTCCCCGGTCAAAACGTGGAGGGGTATACCCCACCCCCGGGAATTACGCCCATGTCGGTGACATATGTAAGAAGAATATATACTTGGAATTTCTTGCCCACGCATGTTTGTTTTGAAATGATAAAGTTGACAATCGAAATATTTGTAGGTTTATGCCTTACCTTCAGTGTGTGTCATATTTTTGTCAGATATTCCTGTCCTGTTGCTCACCTGCGTACAGAATGGACGTGCCTTTATTGCACATTGATTGGGTTAGGTCGTGTCCGAATTATATTTGGCTGCGGCTAGAAATTACGCACGGGTCTGTGGTAGTCGCCGCAGCCGGTTCCTATAGCGTCAGGTGCAGTTTCAAGCCGCAGCCAAGTGATTCAGAGGCAGTTTTGATGATGCAGACCCAAACTGATGCCCCATTGCATCTGAGAATACCTTTATGAAATAAAAGAAACCGTCACTAATCAGTCATTTATTCACGCCATCCACCATGCCAACCTGACTCCCCAATTCGTGAGAGTAACATTTACATTCCATTACTGCAAACGTGCCTACCGAAAGATAGGCAAGGTTATTTTGTCGGCTGTTCCACGTCCAAATGACATTTGCTGTTGTGTGAAATATGGGTAGTTTGGTGGAGAGTTACATTCTGATCTTCTGCGAAGAACGTCAGATCTGTATCACCAGTTTATATATCGACTCATTAATAGAGAACCTTAAACAGAAACGATGTTGTCCTCCAGCTTTCTTTTGGTGAGTTGCGGTCTATTTTAGGCCTTGTATATCAGGCACTGTATATTGTCCACCAATGTGGGAGCAGTGGGGAACTTCTTGTGATTTCACTAGTGAGCACACAGCTAGGCTGGCATGAAAACCAGGCCATTTGCCGGGGTATAGGAGCGGTTATGGCTGCGCCTCATTCGGCCGAGGAGAATGAATTTGTGGCATGTAAGGATGTTTGGTTGTGGGTTTGATTGCGAATTCGTCGCGAGAGAGTTGGGGTGCGAGGGTCAAAAGTCGGGCCAGGCCTTTTCCAATTGGCAATCAGGAGAACCCCAAGTCGTGGATGGTTATAATAATTAAATAATTATAATTTATTCATTTACAAAGCGCAAAGCTCATATAGATACGCTCAAATGCGTTGTACAGTGAAGACATTAAGCATAGAACAATGAATACATTTAAACATGGTTGAGCTGATGGCATACAAGGGCGCCTCGGGCAGCCGCCAAACGACCCACATTCACCAACATCAGTAAAGGGGAGACACTAAGAGGCAGTTACAGTTTTAGAGGCCTCGAGCTGGACCAACAGAGGGCGCTATTTTCTTAGCAATGGAGGCTCCTTTGGTACACGTACAAAATGCACATCGCTGGTCCACGAACGGTCCAAGCCAGGCTACGTATCCCAATCAGTCCCAAGACCTCTTTGGTCATTCATGGGTTCCTTACCACACTATTTTCCCCTTTGTTTACCAGGCACAATTAAGCAACTTTAGTGTATAGCTCCCTCAACAGTCAAGATCATGAAAGGCCTTTCTTGCAATGACACGTACACCCCATTGACTAATAGTAATGATATCCAATAAGGAGAATATTACTGAAGTTGCTTTGGTAAAAATCATGGGAAAGAGTTCCACACACGAACTTCATTTTACACCCTGTGTACAAACCCTCTGATACTGGTCTGAAAAATTGTGTTTTCATTGAAAAAGAGTGTACTCTGTCGCTGCTAAAAAGGACTTTTCTGACCTCTTACTGATTTTTGGGGGCTAATTGATACCTGAAGAGGAAAATGAGTGAACTTCGTACATGAAACTCTTTCAAAATCATGAAGAACCATTGATGAAATCACAGGAATAAACCTCTTTTATTTGGTGGTGTGCTACATTTATTCTTGTCTACAACAAGACTAATCGGACGGAGATGGCACCACATTTATGGCACCTGAGTTTCCGCTCAGATTTCATGAAGGCCTTTGCCTCCCACCCTCCCCATCCCGTGGCCCTGCCCCCGTCCAATGTTGCGTTAAAGGCTGGTGCGCGCTCATGGCGATCCATTGCAACATTAGAGTGGTTGAAGGGGGGCGCGATCTAAACTACCCGAGTCTATGTTAACGCACACTGAAATGTTTCAAAGCGTGGCATTGGACACATTGGTTCTGACAATTCTTACAAATCATACGAGTCTGTTTATGTTGGTTCTCGTATTGCAAACAACACAGTTTCGTTTTTGGCCTTGTCTACTTCTTCCTGGATAAACAGATGTCAAGAACTGCAAAGAAAACGCGTTTCCACCATTTCAGGGATCTATGATGATGCGTGTAGTACTGAGACATTTGTGATGCTAAGTCACTTCCGCCCATGTACTTACTATAATCATTGACGACGGCAGGTCTTTGGATTGCACGACGTCCGGTGGAACTTCTTTTGCAACGAATGTGTTTAGCGTCACTTTTGCAGTCGCCATAATTAGTCAGAACTGTTATACTTTTTTGGCGTCCTACCAAACAACACATAGTTGCCTCGCTTTAGAGAAGAACTGCGGTAGATCATGTCGGTTCATAGGGACCTTCTTAGGGGTTTGTATTATCTGGAATGCCTTGTGTGGTATAGCGCACAGTTCCACGAGCTCCAAACCCTAGCTGGGACTACTTGTGCACAAGAGCGGGGCCAGTGTACCAATAGTCCATGAAAACAACATGTCCCTTGTTTTTTTTTTGTAGGTCAACGACAACTTGGCATGATGCTGTAAGGTTGGGTGGATTGTTGGCTTCAGCGTACGCAACAGAGTGCGAGATGATTTGGTCTGATGGAGCCTTGGATCCAGTAAACACCTTCCACTCACATGTTTAACCGGTTTGAGACTCGTTCAAGGAAAAACATTTCAAGCTATATTAGGCCGACTTGCGTGGTATGTACTGTTTAAAACCGAGAAAGGTTTCGTCCGGGCTTATAGATGCTACGAAACAACGAAACCACAATGTCCAGTAGCGCACGAACTTTAGACAGTTTGTCACGGGGAGAGTCATCTGCTGTGTTGTCGGCAAGGTGGAGAAATCGAAGGAGTGCCATAAATCGGTTGCGAGACTTTGTCGACGTATACAAAGGACTTCGAAGAACCTCGCACGTGTACCAGGACATTGCGTAGCTAGGCCTTTTGTTGATGCCCATCGACAGCAGAAGTGCGACAAAGACCATATCATTTCAGGAACATCCGTTGGAATCCCAGTACAATGAACTTAGTTGGCGGATTCTGCAGATAGTATCTGATTTGCATATCGGTTGGCCTCCCTCATGGCAATTGCCAAACTGCTCCACAGAAAAAGAGTTGAAATATCTGTAGAAGTGACAAATGACTGAAATTCTGGCGGTGCCGTGAAGTTCACAGGTTGTGGCTTTGGGTAAGTGGAGGTTGGTTGCCATCCAGTCCTGCATTACTGGAGAAAAAATATCAGGACTAATAATAAGAACAATATTTACAAAGTGTTTACCCCAAACATCACAGCACTGTACATGAAAAAACTAGGAGTTAGGTAGGTAGGTCTTATTCAGCTGTTCATTGAAGTGGTGATAGATGGGGCTTCCCTGATTAGGGTTGGACTGAAAGGCCTATTCACACGCACTGCCTGTAAACTAGATCTTAATTCACCACACGTTTGGTTATATACACTCACACTCTCAAAGTGGCATTCTGCCAAAGAAAGCGTCTTCTGTTTTCCGTACGATATCCCAGTTAATTGACTGTAATCTTTTAATTTCTGCTGAGAAACCATGACAAGTTACTCTGCATTGAGACGGCACAGTACATTGTAGGGCTTAAAGAATACAGATTGGAATCCTTCCTTTTCCTTGATTAGTAATTAGGATTCGTGACACATTCGGGACATCGGGAATAATATGGCAAGCCTGCTAGTGGTTATAAAAGGCAACACATTGAAATGATAATGATTTGAATGACTGAGACTAGAGCGTCTTGTTGCAAGGCTAGCTGTACATGTGTATATGCCTTCGGCCTACCTGAAGTTCGGCTTGGGGGTGCCTAGTGGCTTCGATGTAGTGAAGTATTTGGTCGCCACTAATTCATCATCACTTTCTTCTGATGAGGACGAGGAGGATGTTTCACTCGAGGATATTTCGGAGCCATTGTCTGCTGAAATTTCGTCGACAATGTCCCAAACCCCGGTCACTTCGCCATTGTGGTTTTTGTAAGGACGCGCTAAGCGCGTCCCAAGCCATCTCGTCCAATCAGAGCGTTCGAGAAGATGTCAAACGGGAGAGAGCGCTATTTACAATCCCGTTGCTGGCATTTTGGTCTGTGTGCCGAAGAGGAACGTTGGTAACGTAGTGACACTGAAATCGTGGGACTTAAAGGCTCGTTGGTAAAGAACCCGCATGGCACTTTGAGCCCAGGTGGCACTTCTGGGGCTGAAAGGGGTATTCCCAACCAACGCGGCTCTTTTCAACCGCTGAGGGTTGCTTCTACTCGAGGCGGATACCGATTTACCCATAGTTTTAATTTTAATCGGGCGCCGTGCAGATCACGAAATGTTCATAAACATTTGAATGCGATCTGTATGGTGGTCCATGCGTATACATGTCTGAGGGGCAGATAGGCAGCTCATATGATCATTGTGTTCAAATGCTAATATCTTGTAGACGGCATTAAGCGTGGACACGGTCCAGTTTAATAGAGTCATCAGCTGGGCTGAGACAGTGCGGGTCCTCCAGCTGGATATTTTTTGGCATATGCAGTAAGGTA